TAGTTTCCCAGTGAACCTTTTTCTGCAACCCAGAACTGCAAGACATTTCTGGTCTTTAGTCTGTACAGCTTCCAATTTCTAGGCTATCACAATCCAATCACTCCATGTAAGTGATGGTAGCATGCTATAGGGGTCTATGAAAGACAGTACAATGAACAAACCCATTCCCCAGACGGTAAAAGAGAAAGTCAGGATAATTTGTCTGGACACATAACTTTAAAGGAAAATCCACTGCTGACTAATGCAGCCCGCTAGCTATGAATGCAGAAATTAAAACGCAAATTATAGTAGGCCAATAAAGTAGTATGAGGTATTTACAGCTCTCTTTGACTGGTAAAGCAAGGATATCTGACTTACCGGGAAGGGTGGCAAACAGCTCTCATTTTATAATGAAGGAAATTCAAACGAGAAACAAACCAGAAAACAGGTGGATCTTTATTAAATTGAGGGATGGGTTATTTCTCTATTTAATCTAAAATACTCTAAATAGGGATGTTTCTGAATTGCTCCTAGGTTCTGAGGAAAGATGTATCTCCTGGGGATGCCGCATGTCTGGACAATTAGCTTACTTCCAATAACTACAATGTATTGTGCTAAATTCTCTTCTCTACAAAAGCTATGGTCCTCACACTCAGCAGGGCAGTACATCTGCCATTCCCCAGGCCCCGGCCAGCTCTGAGATGCTGCAGGTAGAGAGAAAAGCTTTTCCAGATGCACACTGACAGAGAAACCACATATGCACAATTCAATTCAGAAAGCATGAGTGTTTTTCTTCAAACTTGTTTCTTTCTCATTCTGTGAGCAATTCAGTCACCGACAGTTCCCTAAATGGTATCATTTTAATTCCAAAAGCATTAACCTCACTTCCCCTGAGGATTTTGAGATGTACATCATGACAATGTATTTTTAAAATTTCTTAATAGTGAGAAATTTCAGGCAGTCCTTCATAATACAAAATAGGAGATGGAGGCGAAAGGAAACCCAGCTTTGGGTTGAGTGTTTGGAACAGGTTCTTCCTCTGAACCTCGAGCTGTCCACAGATAGCTGTGGGGTGGGGTGGAGGGTCTAAAATATATGCTAAATTCGGTGTCATGTTTTCTTCTGTGGCTTTCTATCACTGCTAGATTTTAAAGGAGTCTAAAAACATGAAGAAGAACTAACCCCGGTAAAACTGAGGGAAGGCACCACAGGTCAGTCCAAAGGTGTCCTTCACCCAGTCAAGCCCTGGCCCTGGGGAGAAAATCACCTGCAATAAAGCTAGCATGCTCGAGTCACTAGAGGCTTATGAGCACATTAGACTTCTAAAGAAAACAAATCACAAGAAGCAAATCCATACCATGTATTTGTCTTTGAAAAAATATGCCAGGGAAGATATTTAGAAAAAAATACAAGATATATATGTATACATAAATATATATTTATATGTAAATAGATACTATATATTTAATTTACTGAATGTCAAGAAACTTGGAGTAGTTTTATAAGACACGCTCTTGGTGAAGATACTAAGAATTCTCATTCCTACCTCACATTGATTTATAAATTTAATACAATTCGAATAAAAATTTTGTTTTTCTAGAAGCATGAACATATGAGGAAACCCAAAAACATTTTTTAAAAGTATGCAAAAGAAATGGAACCGTCAGATTCTGAGATGTATTGTAATGCTACAATAAGATAGGGCATAATATACAAACATATCAAAGACAACAGAAAGCCCCCAACAGTCCTAAACAAATTTGGGGGAAATAAAAGTCTGCTATAGAACTAATTAGCAATTTAGAAAAAAAGTTGTCTTCCATCTCTAGCTCAGACTGTATACCAAATTAAATTTTTCATATGAAATGGCGTGATGGAAGGAGAGAAAAAAAGAAGTAGAAGGAAATCTTTCAAGAAATATGAAAACATTGGTAAACTTAGATTAGAAAGTCTTTTAAGCTAAAAGAAGAATCAGAAATTATATAATGAAAGGATAGATTTGATTATGTAAATATTTAAAACTTCCACACAACACAAAATACAGTAAAATTAAAAACAAGTGATAAAAAGTAAAATAACAGTTTCAAAATGGTAATTCTCAGGGATAGGTATTTAGTAAGAAAAAACAACTATGGCAACATGGTAATATACATCAGAAACCTTAGAAAGGCGTATACTCTTATGTACAGCAATTCTACCTGTCAGCATTTATCCTAAGATACAATACTTCTACACAAAGACTTACAGTACTATTATTTATAACACATCATGTATAACTGAAATAAATTTTTATAATTAGTAAAAATCATTTGAAGAGTTTAAATAAAAAAGTAGTCTATAATGATTCAAATTTTTATTTTTCAGTATTAAATTCACATAGGCCTATCATGTTTCAAAATATTGACAACAGTTTCTCTGAAATAGAATCATAGAAAGTTTCTTTTGCTTCACGACTTTTCTGTGTATCTTCAAGTTTTATTTTATTTTGTAATGTAGGGGAACATTTAAAACCCTATGAGAGATTTTCTGAGATCAGTAAACAAACCCCTCATATTAAGATGAAGCAGGAATCTACAGAGCAAGCCTCTGAATAATAGCCGTCATATTTTCTATGAACTGATTATACTATAAAATATAACCCTCCCACAGGATGATAAAAACGGAAGTTTGTCTTCGTGCCCTTGTACTGAAATCCCGTGTCGTGGGGTATGACAACACCAGCACGTGTGTGCAGATTCTTCTCCAGGAGGGCTTGAGAAGCCTGTCCGCCCAGGGCCTGCCGGGCACTCGTGGTGGCAGTGTAACTGTGCAGGAGATCTCCTGCGTGCGCCCAGGGCCTGCCAGGCACTCGTGGTGGCAGTGTAACTGTGCAGGAGATCTCCTGCGTGCGCCCAGGGCCTGCCAGGCACTCGTGGTGGCAGTGTAACTGTGCAGGAGATCTCCTGCGTGCGCCCAGGGCCTGCCGGGCACTCGTGGTGGCAGTGTAACTGTGTAGGAGATCTCCTGCGTGCGCCCAGGGCCTGCCGGGCACTCACGGTGGCAGTGTAACTGTGTAGGAGATCTCCTGCATGCGCCCAGGGCCTGCCGGTCGCTCGTGGTGGCAGTGTAACTGTGCAGGAGATCTCCTGCGTGCGCCCAGGGCCTGCCGGGCACTCGTGGTGGCAGTGTAACTGTGCAGGAGATCTCCTGCGTACCTCTCCAGGTGTGCGCCCTTTCTGGGCCCCACTGACAGGCCCGAAATGATAGGCTCAAGCACTCCCGGTCTGCTGACTTCTCTCTGGGTTTGGCCAATGGGAATGACGGTGGGGGACCAGAGAGTGGGATGAGAAGAGATCAGGCTGTCTGCCCTCAGCATCCAGCCTGGCATGTCACTACGGACCGGCGGCACCTCCCGGCTGAGGGCTGCAGGTCCTGCCCAGCAGTTGTCTCCACACCACTCAGCCTCCCTCTTAAGTTCTAGCTTCCGATGGCCACTCCTACTCTTGCCCCTTCAGGCCTGGGTGTGGTAAAAGCTTGTTCTTGGTACTAGCCCCAGAGTAGCGCTCTCTTACTGCTTTTCCTAAACCCGGTCTGTACCTTTGTGACAGGTCTCTAATAAACTCTCCTCAAATCACTCCATTTGAGTGCCAGCTGATTCCTGATTCCTACGACCCTCATTCATACAGTCATATACGTAATTACCCTAGAGAAAACAAAGTTAAGTGCATTTGGACTAAACAAAGCAAAAGGAAAAAAGTGACCTAACGTTGTTTAGGAAATTTTCCATTCAAGTTTGGGTTAAACAGAAGTTCAGCCCTATGCTACTTCTGTGCTTCAATTACCTAGAACATCCTTATGCTTTCTTTACTGCTGTGTCTGAATTGCTCTGCTTAGAGGAAACAATCATTTTCCACCCTTGTGCTATTCACTTTTATACAATTATGATTTTTGGAAAATCAAATGTGGGCAAGAAGACTTAAATCACTATCCATATTTTCATCAAGGATATGAGTTTTCATCCTGGAAGTCAAACACCACAGAAAGAAAATGCTGTGAAGTAACCAATGCCCTGCAGAGTCATAAGCAGCAACTGTGTAAATGAAAGCTAGAAATGATCTCAAGATTCCACTGCCAGTGTGTTCTCAATCACTGGAGTAATCTGATATTATGGGAAAACCTACCGAACCACCCAACTTTGATCTGTTCATATCTATCAATGAACAGGAATGGAAAAAAGCACTTTTCTATAACCAGATAGATAGATAGACCTTAATACACACACACCTAATAAAAACAACAACTATAAGCCATGTATAGGTAATCTCTAAATATCAGGAAGAAGGCAAAGAGGTTTCAGGGATATATACACACATATGCAATTCTTAATATCTTATATACCCATCCTCTAATGCTTTGGTGTCATTTTACAGTTCATGTGAAACTTTCACTTAAATAGTAACCATATCTAGATACCCATTTCATTTAAATAAATTCAAGTAAAGTTCCTAAGCAGGTTTCCAGAGAGTTAGGTTGCTTTAAAGTTGGCCATGCATTAAATAAAGCTTTGTCTCACAAAAGTGAACGAGTAACCGATATGGTATCTGTACATTCACTCTGCACAAGGTTCCTTTATCTCCAAAGCATTACTCAAAGACAAACAAGAAATCAGATTACAGCTCTAGAGAACCATGCTCTGCCTCTTCTAGCAACACTGCCAGCTCACAAAATTGTATGAGGACCAACCACCGGCTTCCTGAGGGATTTGCAATCTGCCTTCTCCATCAGGTCCCCCAAGGTTCTCCTGCTTCACACACATGCCCCCTTTCATTCATTCCACTGCATTCATCTTTCAGCTTTCAGAGAGGCTCGTTAACAATAAGCGTGCAAAGGTTCACTTTAACAGCAAAACCAAAAAGACAGCCTTCAGCATTACATTTTATAATGAAACAAAACCCCAGATTTTGAGAGTCAACTAAGCTAGAACTAAAAGCCATTGCAGGAAGAGATTCATTCCTGGGTCCCTAAGCTTCTTTTCACATTACCTGCTTCAGTGTACTTCAGTCCCACTTTTTCTTCTGTGTCTTTTGTTTTTGGGGGTGGCCAGACAGCTTGAAGTCTGCCAGGAGTCCTGTCATCCTGCTCAGTCGGGCTATGGTCAGCCTGTGGAAAGAGCAGGCAAGTAAGAAGTGAAATGTAGTCATAGCCAATTAATTCCTGAAAAATGACATGCTAACCCTAATTCTGAAGTTAATTTTAATGGCCAGTTGCACATTGCTCTCATTCACTGTAACTGAGATATCTTTCCATAGTGTGACCCTTTTCCAGAAGTATAACATGATCAGTTGAGGTGAAAATTTAAAACAACGAAAAAAACCTCGAGGCTAAGTATGTATCACACAACCCTTAAAAGATGATTTTTATTAATTTCAAAAAGCACAAATATACTTTGACCTGAAGATACAGACATAAAGGTACTACACCAAAGTACATTTATAGGAATGTTTACAAATGTATCCCAGACTCCAGGATTATTTAACATAAAAACTAACTTCATGAAAATCAGTGGTAGACCAAGACACACTTTTTCAAACATTCCACACTGCTAAATTTGCTTTTATTCCTATAAACCAATGAATGAGATTACCTTCATATTCCAGTCATTTTTATATGGGTTGATTTTTACAACTAGGAGAATGCTACATTGTGCTCGGTTTTTTAACTGCAATCTGAGAAATTTTGCCAAAGACTTTCATTTTTAACATTCTAACTGAATATTTTAAATATATAAAAGGAACAATAATCATACACTGAACTGATATTAAGCAAGAAATTCTATTTATTGTTCTTATGATCGTTTAAGATCTACTGGACAGGTACTCGCTCATCTTTAGAAATTACCTGAGTTAGTTTTCTTTGAGTAATAATAACAGCTTCCCTTAATTAGATGCTTCTCATGCACTGCCTTTGTTTAATTCTCGTAACAACCATATACCCATTTTATTTTCCTCATTTTGCACATGAGGAGATTGAGGCTTGGAGATTATTAAGGTTACCCCAGCCAGTAAATGGCAGAAGTAGAATAGAAACCCAGGTCTCGTTCTAAATCCAGCGCTCAATCTGGAAGCCTTCCATTCGACGTGGAACACTCTAGTCACACCACGAACACCCATTCTGCCAAATAGTAGACTTTCAAAGGAATGATAGAGTTTCTGCGGAGGTATAATTAAGTGGTGAGGAAACCCTGTCAACTTGGGCTATACTTCCATCTTGCACCACTTCCTCATGCTACTTAGTTTTATCAGTGCATTTACCACCAACATTTAAACTCACGGTGACAGTTACCCTTTTCCTACCTGCACATCTTTATGTATATCCCTCTTGTAATATTCCAGATAAAAATCAGGAAGCATGAAAAGCACTTCCGGCTAACTCCGTACTCCTTACAGGACAACATAATTTGACTATAATCCTTTTCCACCTAAAAGAATCACTAACAGGCAACTAGGATTCACTTTGGGAGGAAACCTGGAAAGAAATACAGCCGCACCATATTTTATATTAAAATGCAAAACCCAATTCTACGTACACTTTTGGAATCAGAGGAGCCATCCGCTGGCTTTGACTTGGAACGTTCAAACACAGCTCTTAGCGACTCCTTCTCATGTCTCATCTTGCGCTTGAGAGCTTCCAGCTCAGAGGTGTCGGCTGTGGTTCCCTTTCTGGGGGGCCGGATGAATAAGGCTTTAAAAGCCTCCAGGGCCGTCTCTGGCGGCTTTGGCTTGACCTCACCACCCTGGGTTGGGGCTACTCCAGGGTCGCTCTGGCTCTCTTGATCCGCGTTGCAGCCCATCTCTTCTCTCCTGGGCGACTCAGGGTCTGCTCCCTTCGGTTCAGTTTTGGGTATGTCAATGTTGAGCAGCAGAGAGAGCTGCTCTAGGAGAGTGGGAGTGGCCTTCGGCTCAGCTGCTTTCTCCTCACTCTTCACTGTCTGTGGCCCTGCCTGCACTAAGGACTTCTGCACAGGCTGGGTCAATCTGAGCAAAGCTAAGTCCCCATCCTTCGGTTTAATTTCAGTGATGGTCTCTCCCCCCTCAGCGGTAGCCCCCTTCTTCAGCACACGAAGCCCACTGAAAAAAGCTGGAAGTTGGAATGACTTCTCTCCAGAGGTTTCTTTTTTAGAAGAGGCACTCTCAGTGACACCAACACTCGAATTCTGGCTTGTTACTGCAGGTAGGACTCGGGACCCTTCTTCTCCCACCTGGCCCTGGCTGGGGCGATACTCTGTCTGAAGACCACCATTGCCAGCTTCTAGTCTGCTGCTTATCTCAGGTGGAATCCTCTGAGGATCTTCTGCACAGAGCTCTGCACCATTCATCTCCCCAGTGACAGTATCTTCCCTGAAACCTCCTGGGTTTTCCTGGGACTCCTGAGATGGCTCAGATAAAACAACACTAGGGGACTTTGGGCCATGGGTGCTGCTTCCCTCCTCTGGCTCCTGGCCACCATCATCGGAGTCGGAATCACTGGTGGTGTGCACGAGGGTCCCGCGAACACAAAGGACATCGTCCTTTGTCCCTTTCCAAGTAGAGAGGGGAAGCAGCTCTTGAGCAAGGAGAGATGTCCCTGCTTCTTTTCTCTGACTTCCCTCTGATTCTGTCTCCACCCTTGCAGTTTTCTCATCATTTCCGAGGTCAGGTGAAACCTGAGACTCTGCTTCCCGAGGATCCAAGCCATTGCTGGGATCATCCCGCTGAGATGTGGGATCCGCGTCTAAACTGTGGAATGCTTTCAGCACAGCATCTTTCTCTTCTGGATTCACAGATTCCAGCTTACTCGTAAACCCAAACAGGGATTTCATAGAGAACTTACTCAGGATCGACTGAGCCACTTCAAGTCCGGCTTCAGGTTTTGCGGGTTCTAAGACATCACTGCCAGCCAGGGAATTATCAACGTTCTCCATGTCTCAGTAATGCCCTTGGTGGAAGTTCTGACTTGTGTTACCTTCTCCCGCTCTCTCAGTTTATCCACTCCATCTGCTCTTAATTCACAGGACAGAGAGCAATGGGAACCGGGAGTTAGGCTGTCAGCCGCACAGCAAACACACTTGGTCTCTTTCAAGTCACTGCGCCCTCCTTCCGGTTTGTGCGATGATGGTACGCCAGGGCAACTGGGAAAAGTCCGTGGAGTCTCAGCCCAGAAGCAGCCGAGACCGTGCACCTTACTACACACGGACCCGGGACGCTGCTCTTCTGAAACTTCCGTATTTATTCCCGGGGACAAAAGCCTTTTTGTCATAGGGAAAGTCAGCCTGCCCTGTAATCCCAGCCCAGGACTTCACGAGGAGCTCCGCCCCAGGCCGGCAGTTCTCCTGGTGGCATTCAACTTCCTCATTGGTGAGCAAGTGAAGGCTTCTGAAAGTGCTGAGCCGGCAGGCTGATTCTGAAGGAACTTAAGCCACTGCCCGGAGAAGTCTAAGGGAATCAGAAGTGAATCAGCAGAAAATGACTGAAATACTTCTGACACAGGCCTTCTTTTTCATCTGGATTATGATCAGAGAGGCCTGGGGCATCCAGGCCAAAAAACTAGCATACACCCAGATCAGCAGCCACTTACAATGCACCAATCAAGGAAACGAATTAAAGAAAGCAATAGATCATCTCAAAAGTGCCTAGAACTCTCAAAGCAGTTAATTTACTGCCCTTTAAGCTTTTTTTTTTTTTTTTTTTTTTTTTTAAGTGCTTTCTTCCGCTTCCCTGCAGGTTTCATCTGGAATGCAGATTTTAGCTGCCAAAGCCCGTGAGGGAAAACCCACACGACTGGTTTCAGATGACTGCTGTTTTAGCTCTGCCCTGGCTGTGTCAGTGCTCTACAAACAGGTACTAGGCAAGCACGCCCACCACACCCAGCGTCCACCAGCAACACGGTGGCAAAGTAAACAGCCCCGGCTCGGCAGGAATGATTACCCTCTACACTCCCTGTGTCAACCGCAGGCTTCTTTCTGCTCAGCAGCTGTGACTTCCCGGCTTCCTTAGAAACCCGGACAGCAGCAGGACACCCCTTTCCCCTTTGGTGTCCCAGCCAACTAAATGAAACCTGGCATGACACAGTGTAACACACAACCGACCCTATTAGACAAAACAATGCAAAGATCCCCAAGGATCCGCATCCCCCTAAAGGGCAAAACATGTGAAAAGTCTCTATCAGTCAGATCTCTATCACAGACCCAATTTGCCCAAACAAAAACAGGACAGACAAAACAACCTCCAAACATCAGCCCAGAGTAGTTTCTACCACGCTATTCATATGCTGGGAAGCTGGCAACAAAGGATGGGGGTAAAAACTGCAGCCCTGTTTCCTAGCTGCATAGCTGCCTCTTGGGACAGCTGCCTGTCTACCTGAAGGGCTCAGCGTTTTTCAAATCCAGTCCCACTCAGCAGGCATGCAATCAGTGCCTGGGATGGACAGGACACTGTTCTGGATGGAGAGGCAAGTCAAACTGGCTTAACAGTAATTGCCATCTCTCTTTGAGCAAAGGTCCAAGACGACTGCGGTCAAGTGTTAAACACAAACAGTAATTCCTTCTGCAAAATGGAAATGGTAGCCATAAGGAAAACGACCGTCTTGCTTTATCTGCAAGAAGGGGTGGCTACATGTCACATATCGATAACTTGAGCTATGTTCTTCAGTACTAAAAACAATCTAAGTATTAATACTGAGAAATTCTGATTCAAAAACACATTTCTAGCAACGTATTCAAAAGGAACGCTCACACAGATAAAAACATATCATTGCATCCCACCAACCACCAAGAGAAAGTAAAACACTTTCTAAATCTTGATTTGATCTTGTGTTTTAAACAGGTACTTCTCTGTTTGCTCCTGATCATAGTATTTTTGGGGATTATTAACTGAGGCACACTTAATCAAAAAGCCATCGGGACACTGCAGAAAAATTCAATGGTGCCTTTTAAGTCTCAGAACAAGCTTCTTGTCTAGAGGAAATACCCATTGATTAAAATCAGACATCTGCTTCTTCAAGACTGTGGAAAGAAGAAATCATCACAACAACAGATCATAAGATCAGTCTTTTTTTTTTTTTTTTTTTTTTGAGACAGAGTTTCGCTCTTCCTGCCCAGGCTCTAGTGCAATGGTGCGATCTCT